TTCCTAAATAATTTAATATTTTTTCTTGGGAAAACAGCTGACTATGGTATTGCGCAACCAAATGGTTGTGTTTATAAATTAAGCGTGAAACGGGATGCAACCAAATGGTTGTGTTTATAAATTAAGTGTGAAACGAGACGCAACTTAATAATTACATATTTGAAATTGGGAAATTAGGAAAAATCTTTTGCTTGATATCAATTACAGTTTGAGAATTTTCTTCCAAACTTCAATTTGACCTGCTTGCCGACTTTCAGCAATGGGAGTAGGAAGAAGAGAACATGAGAAGAAATTTCTTGATCGAGTAATCCTTTTCCTTGTTGCAAGCTTGTCGAGGTCCGAAAATTCTCATTATTATGCATATCGTCGCAGGATGCACTGACTTTTTTAAATATTGTTTGTCCTATTTTACATATTTTTGCATTACTTGACCCATTGCCATACATTTTCCTTTCTTCCCCCGGAGATATTTTTTCTTTTGTAGATAACTTCGAAATATTGTTTCAAATGAAGCTTTCTGAACGTTAAAATCTTCTTCTGACTTGTGAGAAGTCATATTCCCATTATGTTTTTCCAAATTTTTGCTGCGTAGTTGTCCTTGTTCAGCTCTCTTTGATTGTTCCACTTCATTTATGATAAGACTATATTTTCCAGCTTTAAATTCATATTTTGGATTTTATTAATGGCTTATGTCAAGGGTATTTCTTTATCACAAGTTTGCTGGCTGTATAACACTTTTTCCGCGGTTTTTCGACTTATTTTCAATATTTGAGAACTTTTATCGTTGCACAATTCCAACAGGGTCGAGTTTTCTCTTTTGAAATTAATTCGATTTTCATCTTCATCATTTCCTTTGCTCGCTCTAATTTAATTTTGACTTAGCAGATTTTCGCTCGATGCATTAGTTAAGTCTTTACGTAACAGATTCTTTCGATCACATTCTTTCAGATTCTTTTCAGGTAGATATTTTCCATCAACAGAACAGGAAACTGCTTTTATATTTCCAGATTTTCCATTTTCATCTTTTAAATCAATCTTTCCATTGTCTTCTGGCATTCTATGGTGTTGTCCCACATTCTTATGAACACAGACTATTAATTACGGACTTATTTTCGCTGGGGGAAGGTAGATTCATCATAAATATAACGCCCGTTGTGAGAACGGTGAATAGCGTTAATGGTCACACGATCTTTTAAATGTAGTTAGTTGTGCTTTCATAGACTAACCTCCTAACTTATGCGGCTTGATAATGTTGTGTTCTTTCCAAAAATACAACGCTTGTATGTTCCGTTTTACTGATTATACAAAATTCACCCTTTTTTATATAGCCTCCATTAACGGTTCCACTAAGATCTGCATTTTCGCATATCTCCTTTCCGTTCTTCTTACAGTCTGTAAAAGTCCCTTCTGTCCCATGTAAGTATTTCCAAATTGTTTCCATCTCAACTTAAGTCTATCTGGTCTTTTAAAGTATTAGTTCCGACTGAAAACATGGACATCTTGCTAAACAAACCATTGTGGCCACTTGGTTCCTTAATTAAGGAATACGCTCCTCAGGACCGACTCCGAAATTCTAATTCGGTAACTTTTCCATGCTCAAAAAACTAAAGGTTTCTTCAGGGCCATTGACTTTTGCTTACCAAAATGTTAGAGGCCTAAACTGAAAAATCCGCTCTACTTTCCTAAATTTTGTGCGCACGGAGTTTGCCTATTTGGCCCCTCACTGAAATTTGATTACAGCCTCATTTACATTCGTCGGAATTTTTTCACAATCTTTTGCCATATCTGCTACGGTCACTTCCTAATCAATTAAATTTCGTACTCCTCCCGACGTTGGATTTGTTATCATTCGGGCGAAAATTGCCAATAAACAGTTATACGTAACTTGTTTCTACATTCCCCCAAATGCGGATGTTTCCATTTATAAGAAACATGTTGCCCTCATTTCTGATGTGGCCGAAAAGTCTAAACCTATTGACATAGTCATAGCGTTGGCGGACTTCAATTTGCCAATTTCTCGTAAGAAACCGGAAGCTTCATTATTCTTCCTCCATCCCTTTTTTTCTTCCTTATGGAACGGCCAATTGCGGAAGTTTCGTGATTGCTGTTGTTGGCCTAAACCAGCGGAAGAGCATCGGCTCGGTGTAGGCGTCTGACCCAAAGAAAGACAGAAGTCTTAGATAGTGCCTCGCCCTCGCCAGCGGGGAGATACGCCCATGTACGTATATCCACTGGAACTCGAGGTTGTTCTCGGGGCGCTTAGTGTGCGTTCCCACACTTCGTGCGCCATCGGGCACCGTGGAGTTGAACCGTCACGGCAGATATCCACGTTAAACACCTACAGACATCTGTACGCTGACGATGTTAAGCTGCTTTCTCCTTGGAATCGCAATCTTATTAGCTTCAAACTGCTCGTTAAATTTTATGAAACTAAACCTACAAAAAATGCAAGAAACTTTCTTCCTTAAGAAGGAAGTCATTCATTACTGAGTATTTCATTGACTCAAACAAGTTGGAAAACGTTGATTTGTTTATCGTTCTATTCGATCAAAGATTACATTTTAATCTGCACATTGAGCTCTCTTTAAGTAAAGCTACGTCCACGCTGGATTTTATTAAGAGGTGGTCCAATGAGCTGAAGAACACTTACATTACAAAAAAACTATACACCTATTCCTATAGGTGTTATGTAGATTCAATTGAAGTAGTTCGAAAGTAAATCCTGCTATTTGCCCTTAGGAATTTGAATTGAGACCCGCTTGTCTCTTTCCCCCCATATGGAAATAGGTTGCTTCTGTTATCCTTATCGTCACTTGATAAACGTAGATTTATTCTTTGTGTCCCCTTCTTAATTAAGTTAATTAATGGTACTATCGATTCTTCCACATTACTTGATGAGATAAGCTTTAATATCCCTAATCGTTTCTCTAGGCGCTTAATGTTTATAAAGCTTAGTCAATGTAAATATAATTATGAGCTGTTTAACCCGTTTAGAATTGTATGCAGAACCCTAAATGATGTCTATCACTTAATCTCAATATTGGATTCTTAAAATCTATCGAAACAACTGTGCTTAATACGCGCGATTTGCCTATGTCGTATTTAAACTAACTTTCAGTCTTAATATCTCATTATGATTCGAAAACTAATCGGTGAGGATTATTGTATCGGTAGCCAAGCTTTTGGCTTAGGGGTTCATTAGTAATTTGGTTCTGTACTAGTTGTGGGTGTGCCACTGTGTTAATTATGTACATACTTCTTTTTCTTTTTCCTTCTTATTTATTTATACATAAATTATTGTTTAATAATTATTATACATATATGTATTTTTCCTTATTTCTCCTTACATATTTTATATTAGATTTTAATATTAATTAGTACAAGATTTACTTCTAAGAGTTATTTGAATTCGACTGTTAATTTGTTTTAGTGGAGTTTCATGTAAATAAAATAAATAAAAAAAAAAAAGTAATCGATTGAAACCAGTATTACGTGGGCTGACACCAGGCGGGCAGACAAGCTTAGATTGATTCCGAAAATGATTCTGAATGGAGTGGTATAGTAAAAGGTGGGTCTATCTTAAACTAGATGTTACGTACGTCTGCACAAACTTAATATAGCCTGTACCACAATAGGTGTAGAACATAAAAATTCGGTCCTTGTCTGCGAGTTGATATGGGAAAGAGGCCAAATCGATCAAAGGGCTCGTTTACCGTATAAGGTAACTTGCGAACAGCCTCCTTCTCAAAGAAAAGGTTTTTTTTGCTCGTTATTCATAAACAGCAATAGACATAGATAAAATATATATCTTGAAATATATATCTTGAGGTGATCGCTCACCTGTCCGGAAATGGTCACAGAATATTGAAATTTATGTTTTTTTTTTTAAGATGATGAAGGTGGGCGTAAAAGATTCGGTCACTGTTGATTATTGTGTCTTTTCATTTTTAGTCTCCACATGTTTCTTTCACAAAATTTTGTTTAACTTCTCCAACTCTCTTTTTTAATTTTTTTATAATTTTATGTGTGATGCTAAAGGTCGCATAAATTTTATTCTTCCCGTCAAATTTTTCATAAATTTTTAACTTCAATTTTTGTTTAAGTTTGCCTTTGTTGATCTTGCATTAATTATCCGATTCAAATATTTGAATCTGAAAGCTTTATGCATAAATGAATAATTTTACAAACAAGGAGAGCATAAGAAATTATTGTGCCAAATGTCTAGATAGCCAATGATGGGAAAAACAATTGAGATATGCACCAAATTTCAATGCTTATTGCTTTTCAAAAGGTACAAACGCGACATCAGAGACCATAACAAGTGAATTGTTTGTTTGGGACTAACTCCTCCTTAACACAATTACTTTAGTTTCGGGAAAAAAGTCAATGCGTACCGAAAATTAACATTGGCCGGCATTGACTTTTTTTAAAGGCATGCCTGGAATACGCTTCTTTAAATATCGTACTTTCATCACTTATTCTAAAGAGTAATTATTTGAATGTAAAACCGTTCGCCGAAATGTCTTGTGAGATCTCTTGCCAGCTATGCATTAAGTCTGCAATAATTGAATTAATTCGATTGAAAGATA